TACTTCACATAGTCAACCACTAAACAAGTGATAAGTCAATAACATTTAAACCCTACTAGATCATTCATTCAGTAGCCATGCTTATTTCACATAGTCAACCACTAAACAAGTCATGAGTCAATAACATTTAAACTCTACTAGATCATTCATTCAGTAGCCATGCTTACTTCACATAGTCAGCCACTAAACAAATCATGAGTCAATAACATTTAAACCCTACTAGATCATTCATTCAGTAGCCATGCTTACTTCACATAGTCAGCCACTAAACAAATCATGAGTCAATAACATTTAAACCCCACTATAAAATCTTAAACAAGTTAAATAAAATCTAAGCCACTAGTTTTATAACCTACTTCATTCATGAAAAGAATCAACCATAATTTTGTAAAGAGAAACAACGATTTCTGAGTGGCCTTGGTTGTCTCTCAAGCCTCTTTGGGGCTTATTAGATTTTAAAACCAAAATACCTGCCAAATTAATTAGATTAGATTAGTAGAAAATTTTTGGCAATACTTATAAGGCAGACCAGGATCAAGAGAGCTCTGGGTGAGAGGAGGTAAGACTGTTTTGGAAACAAATAACAAAATGGTTAGTATTCAAATTATTTTTCTAATAATCATTTCACGTGTTATTTGTCTTATTAATTGAAATAAGACTTACCTCATGTATAACTTTATACAATCTGTAATACTGAGATAAGATTCTGACTTCTAATATATAGCTTTACATACCGCATATCTCAATGTCTACATTTATACAAACCTTCTGCTAAACCAAGACAAAGACTTACCTCATATCCTGATAACCAACTCTATACAATCCTTCTGGTATACTGAGACAAGATGAAGATAGACTATTAACCACAGCAGTTTCCACACTATTGTTAACTGTGCTATAATGTAGGTAGGGCTGGCCTGTTCCATGAACATTTCCAAGGCCACAACTGTAGACTTCACATTTTGGTATTTGTTTGGAACCATTCAGAAAACATTCTTCCTAAGTAGTGAGAATTTCCACTGTTAATTTGCAAGAAAATAATTAAAAAGTCTTCAAAATTAAATGCCAAATACTGAAAAGTACTGATCTGATAGTTGATTTACTTTGTAAAGTAGTTTTAACTTTCAAAGACTCTAATAGCTTAAACAAGTGAGCATGACAGTGGTAACTGTATTTGTTATACTTTTGCTATGTTTAACTGCAATTCCACGAAGCACATGACATATTCAAGGAACACAAAAATGTTTATACAATCAATTTTCTGTAAATCTTTGAACACTGCCATCTTAATGGTGTGGATTATCAGGTTTCGTGAATACTTTACTTTTATACATATGAAATGTTCTCTTACATTTAAACATTACTTAGTACTGTGTTGGATAACAGATATTAGACAACATAACAGCAAAATTACTCACAAAAGCTCTGGAATCTGAAAGACTGTAGAAAGACAAAGGTCGAAGATGTGGACAGATTTTGTTACATCCAAAACATGAGGTATTGGCATTCAATATATCAGAAATTAAATTTCCTTGACAAGAACTATTAGAAGCTTGAGCAGGAGCCGAAAATGCTACTAATGAGGAATTCTCAGAAGAAATGACTGGGAACTGTCTAAAAGGAAGAGCATCGTAGTGAGAAGAGAAAGCTGGAGGAGTCACATGTTGAAACATTGATACTGAAGAAGTTCTAGCTCCGTGAACATGAACATTTGGCGGTTGTTGTTCATGCTGAAATGAAAGGTTCAGTTGTTGATCATGATTATGAAGATACAAGGCTAGAGAAACAGAGTGAAAGTAACGAACAGTTTAGGTTCAGTTGTTGATCATGATTAAAATGATAAAAAGCTAGAGAAACAGAGTGAAAGTAACATATAGTTTAGGTTCAGTTGTTGATCATGATTATGAAGATACAAGGCTAGAGAAACAGAGTGAAAGTAACGTACAGTTTAGGGAGAAGCAGCAATAGTATGTGAAAGGAAGTTTTCTAAATTCATCATCTAAGAAAAGTTAGCTGGGATAGGAGTTTACACAACATAGAGGCCATTAATGTGGACTGATTTTGGGTTTATAATGTTTTAACTATGAACTGTGTACCTACATGAACAGCATACTGAAGAAACAAAAAACATTTAAAGTTTAGTATGTTCACAATACTTGGCACAGTCTTAGAGACGTAATACGAAACAATTTGCAACTAACGACATATTTCAAGTAAAAGTAAGAGCAGCCTTTCTTCAATCAATTCTATAAAGTACATGTATATTATCTTATGTAATATTTGACAAACTTTATAAATAAAATTAATTTTTTTGCTTTAAGAAAGTTTGTGATTATAATGGTAGATATAGAAAAACTGAATTTTTGTTTATAGAAAGTCTAAGCCTACTTACAATACATTGATAATTATAATAATAATGTAGCAGTTTATTAACAAACCATTTCACAGATAAAATCAGGATGCTTGACTTTCAACTTGCTACCTCTTTCTTATTCTTTATGTAAAAATAAATTGTTGTCAATGGTAAAAATACATGGCAATTAACTTTAAACGTTATTACTAATAAAAAATGTGTAGTTTCCAAGAGATTAACATGACTGTAAAACAACTCTTTTTTTTCTCCAAGTGTTAGAATATACCAACTTTGTAGCTTAATTTCTGCAGAAAAAAACCATGACAGATTTAGCATACAGACTGTCAGACATCTTGAAGAACAAGATTATGTGAACTGGTCAGTCCTCTTACTTCAAATAGGTGTGATTATAAAAAATATCCCCAACATTTTAAGCTGTAGGTACATTGTAAGAGTGATGGTCAATCCTTTAGCATGAATAATAGGTGGCACTGTGCTGTTGACTGGTTGCATTCTCTCTGGTAAATAGTCCAAAACTGAGTTGACAGCCTTATTAGCTTTGTCATGATTATAAATGCATAATTTGCTAAATCTAGAGTAGATCATGTGCTAATTCAGCCTAGGTGTTACTCTCTATAGCATGAGTCAGTTAAGGATATTATTTTCTGTTTCATGGGATAGTTATATTTAACCCAATACCATACCACATATCTCACTCTCTTTCAGTATATATGCAATGTCATGATCAAAATTTGCATTTTTTTTAGAGTTTCGGTTCAGAATTAACTTACTAAACCTAAACCCAGAGTAAGTCATATGCAAATTTAGCCTTAGTTATTACTTTCCATAGTGTGGGTCAATTAAGGATGTTATCTGCTGTTTCATGTTATACTGTTCACAATATCATCTTGGGTTTGAAATTGCTTTATGAATGTTACATAAGACAGAGATAAATTTGAATTCCAGTGATTCACTTTTTATGGCTGATCAGCTACAGAGAGTAACACCTAGGGCTGAATTAGCACACATAGATTGTGAGAGTAGTCTTGGCACTTTAAGGAATGTATTCTTTCTAACTTTGAAGAGACCAAGACTTGCTGGTGTAGTTTTCTTTTCTGCCCATTTATTTAATATTAATCTTAATTCTGCTGACTATGTGTGCTATGCCTAATTTTCAGTTCATTAAACTGACTTTAATTTACTGGAGAAACACAGCCTTATTCTTATTTAATTATTGTTTGTCTTTTGTTTCAATTAAACAGTTCCTTGATTGATTTGCTTACTTTCAGTATATCAACTCTTAACACATCATGATCAGCCTTTGTTCCAGAAGAAGGATAACAGAAATACCTTTGAAAGTGACATAGACCTTTTTCTCTTATAGTTACAAATTGTTAGTCTGCACCATGTATGTGTACTTGGATACCCATATTAGGGACAAGCCTAAAAGGTTTTTCATTATCAATTTGAATTTCATGAATGATATCAATAAAATCAAATTCAAGGCTAGCTATAAATAAAGTTTTAACAGTGTACCTTGTTAAGCAAGTAAACTGGCAGCAAAGAGAAGCATTTCAACAGAACAATGAACCAAGGGCAAGCATACAGATGGCAGAAAAAAAAGGCATTAATATTGAAAGACAGAAATCTGACCTGGACTAAGTATCCAGGAATTGGCATGGGTGAAATATCACAACAACACACAAAATGAGTTAGAGTAGTAAGTTTGTTCGTCCAATGACTGGTACATTTCTTGCTTCTGCTTCCACGATCCTAACAGTTATATTTTACTGTGTTTTATTAAACTAAGAATGAACTCAAATACTTAAATGTATTTCCAAATGTGTGGCTTGTAAGTATGTTTTATCAAGCTAAGGATGAACTCGAATACAAGCCACACATTTGGAAATACATTTAAGTATTTGAGTTCATTCTTAGTTTAATAAAACACACAAGTCACACATTTGGAAATACGTTTAACTATTTGAGTTCATTCTTAGTTTAATAAAACACACATACAAGTTAAACATTTGGAAATACATATAACTAATTGAGTTCATTCTTAGTTTAATAAAACGCATACAAATTAAACATTTGGAAATACATATAACTATTTGAGTTCATTCTTAGCTTAATAAAACACACTTACAAGCCACACATTTGGAAATACATTTAACTATTTGAGTTCATTCTTAGTTTAATAAAACACACATACAAATTAAACATTTGTAAATACATATAACTATTTGAGTTCATTCTTAGTTTAATAAAACACACATACAAGTTAAACATTTGGAAATACATTTAACTATTCAAGTTCATCCTCAGCTTAATAAAACACACTTACAAATTACACATTTGGAAACACATATAACTATTTGAGTTCATCCTTAGCTTAATGAAGCACACTTACAAGTCACATGTTTGGAAATACATTTCACTATTCGAGTTCATTCTTAGCTTAATGAAACACACAAGTTACATATTTGGAAATATGTTTATGTTGCACAGAAAAATCAACATTTAATTACAAACTAGAACTAATCTTCAACTTTTAATTCTAGGAAAGTATTCCAGGTTTTGCTAGTAGATTTCATATATAAAAACAGAACTAAATGAACTGTATTCATATCCACTCTATTCAGTTTGCATAAAAACAATAAATCTTCAGATCATTCGACCTTTCAGTAGGAGCAATTACCATCAAACCAAGCTACCTATGTAAATTAAAACTAAAAATCAACTAAGTAATGAATGTAACTACTTTAATATAGTGTTCTTACTTTTAATGATTAAAATGCATTTTTTAATCATCTGGATACCTATATTGTTAGTGATAATTTTGGTTGTAAATGTATAGCTTTTCAAAAGAGAAATATATTTTCTCTTCTCAGCACTAGATAGCCTTTTATTTCATTATTTAAATAAGATTTAGACAATACTGAAAAACTGCTAATTGAAGAAGACTCTCAACACAACAATGAACTTCACAAAAGTAAAAAGAAGCAGTATCCTCTTCACAGCTAGCAACACCAAGATCTTAATATCATCAGCAAATTTAATGTAAAAATAAAAAAGAGCAAAGGTCCTAAGACTGAGCCCTGAAGTCCCCAAGTTGTAGCACTAATCCAATTTGACGGAATTCCATTTGTAACAATCCTCTGCTTTCTTCCATCCAGCCACTCTTCTGTCCAATTAGCTAACTTATCCCCCACACCCAAAGAGATAATTTTTTGTTTTTACAAGCCTTTTATGTAGCATTTTGTCAAAGACTATCTGAAAATCCAGATACACCAAATCTACACACCCATACCCTCAGCTAATAAACAGTAACCTTTTCAAAGAATGTCAAAAGATTAGTAAGGCAAGATTTTCCCTTAGTGAAAACATGTTGACTATCCAATAAAATTCTAAACTTTGTTAAATGACTTTGCAAAGCATCTTTCCAAAACTTTACCCACAACTGATGTAAGACTATTGGCCTATAATTACTGGGACAATTTTTATCACCTCCCTTGAAAAGATGAGTGACATTAGCTAACTTTCAATCCTTTAGCACCTGTCTACTATTCAAGGAATTACAAAAAATAGTAGCAAGTGGCTCACATATCCAATCCTTAACCTCCTTCGACACACTTGGGGAAATATTATCTGTTCCAGGAGCCTTATCATTTTTTAAACTTCCTAAAGTTGTCTTAACAAGCTAAGAATTAATGCAATAATATTGTTCAACCTTATTTCCATCTATCAACTGTTCAAGACTGTTTAGACCTTCATTAAATATATAAACAAACACACCTTATTATAATGTATTTCAATGTATTAAATCAACAGAACTGAAGTTTTGAAAGTCCATGTAGAAACATAAATATTTTCTTTTGTTGATTTTCTTTCTTCAAATTAAAATATACAAGTAATCATCAAGTATAGCAAAAAAATAAATCTGAAAATAATATTGTAACTTTTCCTTTTCATAAGTACAAGTGAACATTTTTTGTTATTCGATTACATTTTTCCAGCATATATATATATATATTTAGGATGGAATTTTTCAAGACTCTTCAGCTGTGTAAAGAGTTTTTAATTATTACTTTAATTGATTACTTCTTTTTGTAATTGTAATTGGAAGTGCTCATTCAAGTAGTTTAACACTACATTTGAGACACAACACTTCATTTGGTGAGTTATGAGTTAAAATCACTCCTCTTCTCCACTTTTCAATCCCTTAGAAAAAAATTATTTCTTCGTATAATAGATTGCTGTAGTTGAACTACTACAAACAATAACAATAAACTTTGACCTTACAAACTGACTGATATAACCCAAGTGTTGTGCCAAATAAACTTTGACCTTACAAACTGACTGATATAACCCAAGTGTTGTGTCAAATAAACTTTGACCTTGCAAACTGACTGATGTAGCCCAGGTGTTGTGTCAAATAAACTTTGATCTTGCAAACTGACTGATGTAGCCCAGGTGTTGTGCCAAATAAACTTTGACCTTACAAACTAACTGATATAGCCCTAGTGTTTGGCCAAATTTTACATTACTGACCAATAGTGAACAAAGATTTGTGGTTTTCAAAAAGTGGCAACGCAGTACAAGTGTTCTGCAAAAATGCACATGACTGATCAATAGTAAAAGTGTCATTTACGGTGTTCCAACTGAAAACATAGCCAATGTCCTGCAAAATGCTCATCACTGATAAATAGTGACATCATATATGCACAAATATAATTTAAGGACAACAAGGGACCTGTTGGTTGTCTAATTCACTAAATTAAACTTTAAATGTAAACAATCAAATACTCAAAGCCAACCCTTATCATTCAACTATGTTATGTCACTGTAAAAATAAAAGAGAAAAGGTCTCAAGACTGAACCCTGAGGTACCCAACTTGTGACATTAATCCAGTTTGATCAAACTCCATTTCTTAAAAGCCTCTACTTTCTTCCAATTAACCAGTTTTATATTTAATAAGAACAACCTGTCCCTCACACATACAGTAATAACATTTTAAACAAGTCTTTTGTGATAACTTGTCAAATGCTTTCAGTGATTTCAAATAATGACCTATTTTATGGTGAATTCAGATAATGACATTTTATAACGACTTTAAATCTTATCTCAAGAAAGCAAACATATAAAAATGAAACTTCTTTTTTTGACACAAGTTTATCTTTCTGTAGCGATAAAGGTACACAAGATTCTTATCCTTCTACTTATACATACTATTATTCCTTTTTATCAAATTACAAATAATAAAAGTAGTAATTCCATTAGAGTATACTCAAAATTTTACAGTAAGGTATGCTTAGAACATTAGATAACCCTAGCTAAACACTATCAATTAAACAGAAATAGTTGGAGCATTTGTAAAGTGAAGGAGGGAGAAAAACCAACCCCTACAGTAAAAACTTTCCAAGGAGAATGTAGTTTTCTGATGCTACAGACCTGTGACTGTGAATGTGACATCTGGATGCCAAATGTTGGGTCAATAAATTGAATGTTGTGAGTTTCCACTTGACTTGCTGAGTCGGGTTTGGGAACTGGGTTACCTTGTTTTGTGGGTGTGTTTGGGATGCAGCTTTCTTCATTTTCAAAACTCTGCTTGTAAGCAAATTAAAAATTACAAAATGTCTAGTATAACTGATTCATGCCAAATTTAAATATTTCATGATAAACTTTTGGCAAACATTCTACTCATGAAAATAAAAACCTAATCATATAAAAAATACCAAAATCTAGTTCAACCTCTTACAATAAGGCTGTTTAAAACAAAACAGATTATTAACTTATATAGTTTCTTAAATAAGAATAGGTACAAAATATAGAATATTTATTATTCAAATAGATCACATATTTTCTAAATAAACAAAGTTGGCTGTATTGATTATATTTTAGAATTCAAAAACAATAATTCCAGGCATTACTTTGTGCCTGTTCTAATAAATAGTCTTGAAACATGTTACTTGATAGGATTAGAACTGGGGATACTTGTGAGTGAAATATGTTAATTGCTAGGTTTAAAACAACTGGGGGATACTTGTGAGTGAAATATGTTAATTCTTAAGATTAGAATAACTGGAGGTTAGTTGTGAGTGAAACATGTATATTGATAGGATTAGAATAACTGGAGGTTAGTTGTGAGTGAAACATGTATATTGATAGGATTAGAACA